GGCAGGAGGGTTGTGGAGCTCCTTACACCTCCGCGACCGGCCCCTGCGCACTGGTCTCGTTAAGTGCTGGCTGTTCGCCGTGCGCTTCAGTTACACATATATAGGATTTTCTCCTCAATATTTGGCATTTTGTGGATTTTAATCGCGCGGTTAAGATGTTACCTTTTAGGAGGAATAAAGCTGTTGTGCTACAGGGTGTTAGCGCCAACCGCAGGGTGAAACCAGAGCGGGAGTAAATATCTGACAGGCTCGGCAGATGCTTCCCGCTGCACAACCGTCCGAAGCGCTTTACAAGAAACAGTATAATCTAGAAATACAGGACAATAATTTAAACTCTTAACTGTTTTCATACTTTGTCAGGCATAGCCCAGTTTTTGCTGTCTTCCGTATTATTTGTAGTAAGTTTGAAATGCGTTTCCTGGAGGTACACCTTATTGCCTAGGAGCTCGCTTCAGTGCTGTTAGAGTCTTCACAAAACAGAATGAAGTACCTTCTAATAAACCAGGAGGGAGGAGAAAAACCTAAACCAAACAGCTCCTAATCTTCCTAAATTATATGGTGTGCTGGTATTTAACAGAAATAGGAAAGCTTGTAGTCAGTGAATGGGAGAAGATTGGAATAGATAAGGGACTCTAAAACTTTGGTTTGAGTAAAGCCAAATGACTGAGAAGGCTGATGTTTATTAAAAAAGAACCTCGGGAATGAATTGGTATGTTACCCAACACCCAGAAGCTACCAGACGTAAGCTACTATGAAATGTAGTATTTAGTAATACTTTGGGTTTCTAAAGCTGAAAGCTGAGAAGAAAGTAAAAATATACATGTTGCTGTCTTTATGTTTTGATTGTCAAATTCAACAAAGTTTCTATTAGCTTTTATTTTGCAACAGTCCGTGGTTCTATAATCATTCACCTGCTGGGGGCATTAGTGTAATTTTGAGAACCTGATTTTCACCTTGGGTTGCTTGAACTGAACCACATCTATTCCCACAGACAGAATTTAAGGTGAAGCAAATACCATCTCATGTTTTGTCCTGACAATAGAGTAGTTAGCTCAGTTTTTTCTAAATATGTAGAGGTGTGCTAGTGCAACACCCTCATTACGTTCTAACAAAAATTAGCAGAAGCAAGTTTGAATGCAATGTTTTGAAGAGATGAATTGAAAGTATCTTCCTTTTTAACAAAACTGGGCATTTGAAATTCTGTGACTTAAAATAGCTATAGACTAACCTTCTAAGTGGCTTACTGAGCATTTTGAAAGGGAGGAAAATTACTTTTAAGAGACTTTGCTATTTCTATAAATAAAAGTCATCTCTAGTAAACTAGATCCAATTAGCTGACATGTTTTTCCTGCCAAGAATGTGGGTTTTTCCAGCTAGTAGACTATTTTCAGGAATCTAGTTGCTAAGATTATTGATTCTTTTTCGGTCTACATGGAATATCTGATTTGCATTCTTTAAATGTTTTAGAAACATGGGACTTGGAGTTAGAGGTTTACAGGAGAATGAAGTGTTCATGATTTCAGTTCAGAGATCAGTCGTTGCCAGACATGGATTTCTTAAAAATTCAATAGCCTCTGTGGAAAGAAGCATTGAACATGAGAAGGATTTGAATCTTGTTCTCTTCGCAGTATAGCCCAGACAACGTGGCTGGAGCAGACGGAGACATTGACCCCACTGAAATCACCTTTCCGGGATGTTCGTGTCTTACCAGCTCCTGTGTGGTTCATGGGTGCTCGTGTCTTTGCCATGGTGAAAATTACAACAGTTTGTGCCTCATACCCACAGACGCAGAGGAGGAGTACACCAGGCCTGTTTTTGAATGCAATGCCATGTGCCAGTGTGGTGAATCCTGTCAAAACAGGGTGGTTCAGAGGGGTTTGCAATTCAGACTTGAGGTATTCAAGACGGAGAAGAAAGGGTGGGGCCTTCGCACTCTGGAATTCATAGCTAAAGGAAGATTTGTTTGTGAATATGCTGGTGAAGTTCTAGGCTTTAATGAGGCACGTAGAAGAATTCAGGCCCAGACACCAAAGGATTCGAACTATATTATAGCGGTGAGGGAGCACCTCCATAGTGGTCGGATAATGGAGACTTTTGTTGACCCGACATACATTGGTAACATAGGCAGATTCCTGAATCATTCTTGTGAACCAAACTTATTTATGGTGCCAGTTCGAGTTGACTCGATGGTGCCTAAACTGGCACTTTTTGCAGCCACTGATATTTCTGCTGGAGAGGAACTTTCATATGATTATTCTGGAAGATTTCATAATTTACCCATAGTTAACAGAGAACAGAAATCTTTAGAGAAAGATAACAGATTGAGAAAACCTTGCTACTGTGGTTCCCGCACATGTGCTTCCTTCTTACCTTGGGACAGCTCCCTCTTTTCCACAACAGACGCTTGTTCAGGGACCTCTCCGTTGCTTTTCCATCCCTAAGCACACCTAAAAAATGTCATTTTTCCTAGTAGTTAAATTGCAGTTAAAGAGAACTCTGGTTGTGTATTCCACCAAGGAAGCACATGTGGTTTTGAGTAACAGCTAGAAGACAAGGTTTTGAGAATAACTTCAGGCAACATCCTAGAGCTCGTTTTCAAGGTGGATGGTATGATATGAGGGAGCTTCAAGATGTTCCAAAGTCAGTTACTAAGCCAGACCCAGTGTTTTTCTCTTGTTTTCTTCTGACAGCTTGCTGTATGATAAAGCACCTCTCTCAGTCTGTACCTTTCTGAAAGAATGAACTTGAACATTGGTACACAGAAGGGACATGTGATAATAACGAGAAACGTCGCTGAAAATTACACAAGAGAATGAGACTGAGGAATGTTGACATGTGCAAGAAGGGCATTAGGTTTCTTAAATCCTGTTAAAATAAATTATTTTTTTAAAATTACTTGCTGTATATTTTTTTTTCTGTGAAATGTAACTAATTCTTATAGATGTAAAAAACTCGCCCAGAAAGATTAGCCTGAATGCTTTGTCCCCTGTTTTCCATCTCCAATCACATCTAGCTGCATGCCAAAATGGTGTTTTAAGTAACTAGTTCAGTTTCATTACTAGTTCAGTTTCTGTGTAAACGGCGCAGTAGTGCATGCCCCGAGAAGTACAATCTTCCCGTCTTTTTGAATCGTGTCTATCTCAAGGCTCATCTAATGAGACTTCTGCAATAATAGCAAGCAGTGTGTCCATGTTACTTTCCAGCACTGTAATTACACGCTCAGGAAGCAAATTCAGAGTCTGCAGTCGAAAGCAGTATGATGCTGCTATTCTGACTTCTGAAAGGGATTAAGGTAGGAAATACAAAAGTACATCTGAACAACAACAAATTTGTCTTTTTACATTGTTGAACGGCTGGCAGATCCATGAGCCTTTCAGCTACTAACCGAGTAGTTCTCACTGTTCCTGCAGCACCAGGCAGTATTAAGCAAGGCCTGTCCTTCCCCAGCAGCAGCGGCTGGTCACTGCCTCCTGTCGTCATTCTAGTACAGCTCTAACACATGTACACCGCTATACTGAGCGTCTCCTTACACCGGGGACACACAAGAGCACTTGCCGGGTGGGGTATGTTCTGCAACTGCATGTTACTTCACTTCCTTTCTAGAATGGTCAAATTAAGGAAGCTTCAGAGAGACTTGTTTTGAATTTCCCCCAATTTTGATATAGGAGACAGATAAACTCCAATGCTGTTTTTTACAGTCACCGCAGTGTGCCATCAGTGGCACAAACCCCTGGGTTATTTGCTCTCTACAGTTTGATTTTTAACTGTATTCATAACTTTTGATGTAGCATACACATGTAAGGTAAGGCTTCTCGGGGCCATCAGCTGTTGTGCAGGCCAGTGGTAATTTATTATTTTTTTAAATAAAAGACAAGTTTGATTTGGGCTCGAAAGATTAACCTGATACTGACAAGGGATAAAGGACACTTTACTGGTATTATTTTGCTGTTTGCTAACCAAATCTTACTTTGTGTTTATCTAGACTTCCTTGATAAGCTTCGGTGTTAGCTTTTCCCCACTTAATATATATCTTCATGCTTCTGCATGATGAACTGCTGGTGAGATTTACATACGGCTGTGGTTTTAGTTTAAGATAAAGATTACCACGTGATTTTTCTTAGGGTTAATCATTAAGTGTCAGTTCTGTCAGTACAGGAAGCTTCCAAAGGATTTCAGCTGCTTGTCAGAAGTAGCTTACAAGCTGAGTGGCCATTAACTTTATCCCTTGCCTGATTAAGGGTGCCTGCTTCTACAGAAGAGTTCTCCAGGTCCTGTAACTCAGAATGAATGCCGCACCAGGTACCAGAGTACAGCTTAGGTTGCAAGGTCTCTTGTCCTGTTTAGGGCCTTACCTGGTTTTCTTCCCCCAAAGGGCATTGCGCCAGCCACCTTCAGCCTGCAGGACTGCAGCGCTGGGAGTGGACGACCCAATCTCCTTCCTCTTTCCCTCCTGGAAAAAGTTTCGGGACTAGTTTTATACCATCTGTATTCCTATTCCTCAAGGTTAGATGGGTTTTCAAGATGACGGCGCTGTTTGCTAGCTTCCTGTTATGAATATGTACTTGGCATGATTTTGAGTAGTTAAGGAAGTGTAGATTCCAAAAAAATAACCCCAAAACACAACCCCCCCAACACCATTAGAAATATCTAGTCCTTGCATCACCAGCCTTGAAGCAGAGAACAGCCGAGCCTTCTGTCTCCGTGCAATCCTACCCTTTCAGTCCCAGCCAGCCGATGTGGCTTCTAGGAAGTGAACTGAATATCAATTCCCTGGTTAGAACAAACTTCCACAGCACGGAACAAGAGAGCCTTGTACTGCTGAAAGCAGCCAGCCACGTTAAAGGCCTTGCAAGAACATGAAATAATACGTTGTCATTGAGTTCTGAACCATCATGGCAATTGTTAATGGCTTTTTCCCATATAGCATGTGCATTATACTTCACTATGCCTGGAGTGGGGGGCGAAATCCTTCTAAAAAGGAAAACAATCCCCTTACAAGGGCCTGAAAAAGAAAACAGACCCTTGTTTCTACCTGCTGAATTTCTGTTCGCTTTTCCCTTCGGGTTCCTTTCAGCTTCATTGGGCCCCAGTCTGCCAGCGCACAGCTGAACGTGCCCTTTCTCAATGAAGCCAATCAAACAGCTCAAAAGACTGCGCGCTCTGTGTGAGCCTCCCTCCTTCCTTCTACTCTCAAAGTGTAGTAATGATTAACAGTATTTCAGTATTCAATACTCAAGCTTAGAGGTTTGCTTTCCCGTTGAAGTCTGATCAGATTAATTCAAAGATGTTTAATGAAAGATCTTGTAATAAAATACAGTAACCCTTATGCAAACAAGAGCAGCGTGAGTGGGACGCATTCCACCATCTCCTTAGAAGATCAGGAAGACTCCTAATGTCCTGGTTTGAGGTGAAACGGGACCAATTTTGTTCAGTAACTTTGCTTCTTAGCTGGGCCTCTTCTAACCGCTGAAACCCGCAGCACATTGTGCAGACACTGTCGCGCTGAGAGCGCTGTGTACAGCTGCTGCCCAGGCGCGGGATGCGGAGAGGCTCCGGCTTCTCCTTATCGCTCTAACCCCCAGGGGCAGCTCACTTCGGGACGTGCCCCGTCGGAGGGTCGGCAGCGGAGAAGCGCAGAGGGGTCCCACCTGCGGGGAGGAGCGGACAGGACGGGTGACCCCAAACTGACCGACGGCGTATTCCGTCCCATCTGCCTCACGCTCAGTGTAAGAGCGGAGGGATCAAAGGGTCAGCCCTCTGTCTTCAGTGGCCGCGTCCGAGGAGGACTCTGTCTGTTCGTCTGCCTTTGATCCCCATCCTGAATCCGGACCCGGAATCCAGTTCCCGTCTGTCACTGAGTCCAGTCTGGGACTGTCCTGGTGCCACCATCATCATCCTGGGAGCTTGATCTGATTTTGTATAGATTTCATTATTTCCTTTTTCTTTTATTATTAATATTCCATGAAAGTAGTTCAGTTCCTTCTAAACTCCTAAGTCTCTTTTTCCCTCCTCTGCCTCTCACTTGGTAGAGGGGTGTGGGGGAGCATCTCTCGGTCCCATCTGGGGTGCCCCACGTCCCCAGTGGCCGATTCAGTCTAAACCACAACACCCCACGTGCCACCCACAGCACAATGAGTATTGACTGACATATACCTAATGGTGTGGCATCACGAAGCAGTTTATTTTAATAAAGTCATACAAATTTTCCAATATATGGTTGTGTGTATTTTTTTTTGTAATAAAAAACGCAAAACCAACTCTAGGCGAAATCTTTTATACAGTGCATTCCTTCCTATGGCAGAGACGTGCCTTTGGGAAAGATAGAGATAGAATCTTTCCCTTACTTTCAGTAAAATAGATGGGTTTAATGCATAGATTTTAATTAAACATTTAATGCTTGTAAGGCAGTCTTTACTACGCAAAATATTTACCATGGCTTTTATCATGCTTATGTGAGCGCTAAGACATAGTGGTGTATTCTGCAATAATTTTTTTTCTGCTTTCTAGAACTACCTATGTCCCCCGCTGGAAGCTGGGTTTTGGGGAAGGTTCCCCAGACGTTCTCCAATACCTTCCTTTCAACGTGAAACACCGAGCGGAGAAAGCTGGCGAGCGATGGATTTGCGTTAACCCCAGGTTGTGTTAAACCCAAACCCGACTTACTACAGAAAAGACAATGCTGGGAAAGACCAGCATCAATGCAAACGTTGTTGTTAATCCACCACATTTTTGCCTTGTTAGATCTCAAAGCAGCTGGCAAGAGGGCCAAATTCAGCCCCTCTTTTACACCCAGGCACTTGAGGGGGCAGGGACACAGCGGACTGAGACACAGGGAAAGGACAGTGGCTCTGGTGTGGAGCTCACTGCGCAGGCGGCTTCTCCATCAGTCTCCACTTGGAGCAAGCGATTGCCTGGCCCAGAAATACCACCAGACACCCTGGCCTGGAGTGACAGGGCAAAACACGCTGCCCATTCAGATCCCCAAATGAAGTAGTTCTCATTATTCCCATTTCCCTTCCTCCTTGATAAAATTCCTCTCCTTTTAAGTGGTTGGCTCCTTTTCATTTGGTTGGGTTTGGTTTTTTTTCTTTGTTTTGTGGTTTTGGTTTGTTTGTTTTTTTTTTTTAACAGAACAGTTTCAAAAATTACCTTATTAGGCCTTAGGGCTCACAGTTACAACCACCGTCTTTTCACTTCCATGATCTTTTATTCAAGTGAAATCACGTGTGAGCTTCAGCTTCTAATGATACCATTTTTGCAAGATGCAAATGAGCCTACAGCACGTCCAAGAGACATACAAAGGAAATTGAAGGTGTTTTTCCATCAATAAAAGTCTTTAGCATAAATAAATGCTTGAAATTTTATTCAAATATGTACATCATTTCTAATCACAATCACCCTGAGGATTATCATCCCTCAGTTGCAGAAGGCACTTTTCTAAAGAGGAGCAAGTATCTCACCAGAAAAAAAGCACATTTCCGGACTTGATTTTCACTGCAACAGGAATGTAATACAAGTGCTGCTCTGACTGTCCCTGTGGAGAGCTCTGTCTTCCAGTCCTCACCTCTCCTTAACCCCTTCAGTTTTTTCTTTTAAAGCTGTCTAGAATTTCTTAACTGCTTCAAGTTTCTTTTAAAGCTCTCTATAAGTTTAGAAAGTCTTTATTGGATTTGAGTGTAGAAATTCAAACTATACAGAAATAAAAGCATTTAATAAAGATCTTTTCTAAAGGAGCTATTAATTAACTTTTTAAAACAAAACTGGCATGTTTTGTGCTAGTTAACTCCAGAGTACTCTTGCTAAATCCAACAGAATTCACCGATAAAAAGTTTGGTCAGGATAAAAGTCCAGGCCGGGTTCCCCAAAGATAAATACAGGAAGGTTCTTCAAGCAGTGGTGAGTAGCTTTGGCTTTTCTTCACTCGCAGGAAGTTTAAGCGCTAGCTTTTTCTACTCTGTCTCATCAGCAAGACACTCCACGCATCTCTCTTCCTCCTCCGGTGAAATCCAGCCCTTGACATCTCGGTGCAACAGCCCGCTTGCTCACGGTAGCCGCGGCAAGGTGTCTGCTGCGCAGCGGAATCCCAGATTTGAGGCAGAGCTGTCAGGAGTGTTTTGGCTACGGGCGGCACAGCGATACCGATAGCAGTACGACTGCAGAGGAAGAGGAGGGGGAGGAAAAGAGAACTTCAGAACGTATCACAGCTTGTGTTTCCTTAGGCAAGAGTTTGTTAGATTAACACAGCAAAACATTTCAAATTATCAATGAAATCACTGTGTTAGAAATGAGGGAAATCCCACAGTATAGAGAGATCAGTTGCAGCTGATACAAAAGGGAGTTTGAACGGCAAAGTATCTGTTAACAGGAATGTCGGCTACTCATATATCCTCCTCTGGGAAAAAGTAAAATGATCATTCTGCTTCTCTTCTCGGAGGAAAAGAGAGCATTTCAGCACATTCATCTGTATATCTGCTCAGGAGTGGCGGGAAACAAACAGGTACTGGCGCCTGTCAAAAAACATTTCACTGAATGAGATGCAACAAGAAGAAAGGAACAACAGGAGGCAAACTCCTTCCCAGTATTCTGGGCTGGCATTCCAGGGGTGCTTATAGTCAAGACGTGATCTGGACTAGTGGCTATGAAAACATTTACATTTGAAATTAAGCCACTGATAAAAATGATTCAACTGCATTTCAGATATTCCTAGTAGACAACCGCGAACACTGCGATCACACAGCAGCTGCCCCTCAGAGAATGAACGGAGGAGCCACCCTTGCCGTTTCGTTTCTTTCCGTGAGAGAGGAGCACAGGATTGATTGACAGGACTTGTCCTCGCAGCCAGCTACAGCCATTTGATGCTGCTGATGTGTTTCGGCAGGAAATACCTCTGCGCTTTCATTCCCAGTGGTGTTTGTCTTGTGCTTGTAGGATTTGATCTTTCTATGATAGACCAGTTTAGATCCAAAGTGTCATCTTAAAAGATTCAGAGATGGGCTGCTGCAGGGTGCTCTGTACAAGTTACTTTGACAAAGGCTGTAAACTTACACAACCAAATGAATCTAAACAGGACGAGGTCAGACGTCTTTACAGCGGGGCACAGCCACGGGTCTGTAGCATGTTCTGACCCTGCCTGGCTGTACGGCTCTGGCCACGTCTCAGTGCAAGTTAATATACTTGCGCTGCTTGAAAAAAAGGAAAACTTACACTATTGGCAGCGCTACAGATTCTCAGTTGCCTGGCATTAGGAACGCTGGCTTCCCAACTGCAGAACTAACCAGTGTAAGCGGTTTGCTACATCAAGTCAGGCTGACTGCCCAGAAGCAGCTCTCCATCGTAGCACGGAAGGAGCACGGCCACGCCGGTCATCTCACTGATAACACACTGGGGCAGCAGACTGTGCGGTTATGTAGCAACTCCAGTACAATCCACCATCCAAGTCCTGCCCCGTTTTGCCGTTACTTCGAAAGATCTGGCTCAGGCTTTTTGTTCCTGTCCTCCCTCTCATCTCCAGCTACGGGCTCCTGACCTCTGACAAAAACACACCGCTTTCATTCAGGCCAGTTCCACTGCCCATAGTCAGGCTCTGAACCAGACCTCTGGAACAGCTGCTTTAAAAGGCAAACACCTTTTTTTTTTTTTTTCCTTTTTTTCTTTTTCCTTTTTTTTGGGGGGTGGGTGGGTGTGGGTGGGTGTGATGCAGGATTCATTAGCAGGGAGGAGAGGATAGCTTTTCTCCTTTAAACCTAGACTCCTTCAGGAGTTTGGGCACCGCTACTCAAACAACTGCATCTGTACACCCCGAGGGTGGTGAGGAACGGGCTCTGCCAGCCAGGGAACAGCCCACGAGCCACACCATCCCCTGCAGAGGCGGCGGGTCACCGACGTTTGTCTCCAGGAGTTCACAGTATCTCCACCTAAGGAGTCTCAAACACCAGTTCCACACCAGCTTTTTCGTCGCAGTGCGGAGCCAGCGCAGACAGCTGCCCTCTCGCACTGCGGAGGTCTGCCCTAAACCTCAGCAGTACCCGGCAGGGTTTAGAAGTGGAACTATTTTGAAAATAAAAGGAGCTGCTAAGCATACCCGTAAAAAGGTGCAATTTTAGCCTTTGTCAACTCTGGGAGGTAGAACAGCAGCAGAACAGCTTAGTCTGAATAGACTTTTAGGCGCCTAATAAAGAGCCCTCCTACTAATCATATTCAGTGGGGCTTTTTGTCTTGATACACAGCCTAGTTTTATCACCTACAAAAAAAGACTAGGACAGACTCGAATCTTCACAAGCCTTTAAAATGGGTCACGTTATTCATCACTGAAGAAAAGTCTATTCCAGTGTTAATTTAATCAAAACTGCTAATTAACATCTGACATTGATTTCACCTAAGAAGGAAATCAGTGTAGAAAATGGGATCTCACTGTAGAAAATTTAATCTAATTATGAGAATGATTTGCCAGCTGCAGGCTTTGAAAGGGAAAAAGAAGAGGACAGCTTTAATGAAAAAGGAGATCTACAGTGAGCATTTTTTCCAGTGGTGCGTGAACAGGGTTTAAGGCACGATTTGTCTCATGACCAGCTATCGCATCGTGGTGCTATCCAGACTTTTCAGGAAGAATTTCAAGTCTGCTATCAACTAAGGGGAAACATTCATCTCCCAGCAATCTTTCTGCAAAGACCAGATGTCCTTTCTGAATCGAGAGTCATTCTAAGACTAAAAAAGTCACCTCCATACTTTTATTACATGTATCGGGCACCATAATGAAAATAGCACCAGAGGCATACATCAATTTCAACTTCTACATCTAAAAAACCCCAAACGTTGTGGGTCAAGCGGTTTCTTTGTTTTAATTCCAAGCTAACAAAAAAAAAAAAGATTCATTAAGAACATTAGGTGTTGCTCTTCCTTAAATTGCATGAAACCCCTTAACAAGCAGGCAGGCTGCCAGGAAACTCTGTCAGAAGATCATTCCATTGTCAGGTCGGGTACTTTCAGAGGAAAGATCAGTATGAAAACACCGCAGGCCTTCTCACGTTACCTTATGGCACATATAGGATCCACCCTTCTTCACTCTGTCCGTCCCCGCTGAGGGCCCTCTCTGTGGAGGTGAGGACACGGGTTAGTATGTAACGAAGGACAACTGCCAATTACAGGGTAAAGGCAGAAAGCTGTAAGAACAGGGAGATGGATAAGGAGCAGCCATAAATATTCAAAGCAAACAAATTTTAGCTGTGTCTGTCTGAACCAGACAGCTTGAAATAATTATGTCGTAAGAGACTTGCAGACAGGTGACAGTACTCGTTCTCTCTTCCCACTGCTGCAAATATTTAACATGCGAGTTGCTGCCGCTGGCCAAGAGCACCTTGTGCTTTGCTGCTGTAAAGCACCCGATAAAAAGCTGTGAACAGCACAGTGGCAATCACGAGGGAGTACTGATGTTTGAAAACGGGTAAGTTTCTATAGTTTCAGACTTTTCCTAACGAGAGATTAGGAAATTTTCACACACCGGGCTGCACACGCAGTCAAATCGGGTTCTCATCAGCTCCACTGCTTTGACACCAACACACGGGAACCCACGAGCCTCCAAAAAGGGTGCGGGGAGAACTTCCACTTTTCTAAACACAGTCACACTGGTTGGTGGCCAGTCGCAATGAGGGACTGTAATGCCCAATGTTTGGTGCTTATTCTCTTTCCAGTCCAAAATCAAGTCTGAAACACAAGTTAGTGACTGTGCAGCAAGACAGTCCGTATCATCTCCCAGTCACCACGTACTAAATGTATTACCGTGTGCGATCACGACAGCTAAAAAGGGCTGCAGAAAGCACTGTGCTTCCAAACAACAATCTTGTAACTGCGTGTACATTTGCAGTGACGGTGATCTATTTGAAGTGCTTTGAAATTGGCCCTAGAACTGATTGAACGAGGTTATTTCACTATTCTTTTTCAACTCCAACTCCAAAGGATGGCCTAATAGTTCAAGAAGAACGCTGGGCTTCCTTGATAACACACTCTCTTGCTTGCTTTGATGCGTGTTTATTACACAGGCGAGCAATTCTCCCACTTCGTTCCTTTTAGCTGTGGAAGTTACTACTGCACTTCCCTCATGCTCGGAGACTACTGCTATACCTCATGTTTCCACTGCTGATACCAAATATTCTTCCGTGCTTTGTACCCTCCACGTGCATCGAGAAACTACTTTTAGGGAGGAGCCACAAGAACATCTGTCTTATAAAAGAGACAAACAAGACCAAGATGATAAATTGTGTTTCACGAGTTAACAGCCCACCTGGCCTAGAAGTTAGTACTGCCACTAAGTATCCTCTCAAAGTTGTAAGATTTGCATGTATTTCTATTTCTGAACACGTTACACTAACGTGCAACAAAAGCGTTTTCTTACCATGTATAAGCCTCAAATAAAGATTTTTTTCTCTTAACTCAAGGTACAAACTGTTTCTTCACTGGTTGGTAGGGTGTCTAAATCAATTCTATATTTCTGGACAAAACCTTATCAGAATAATTTATGGACTATGGGGGGGAAGGAGGGAAGGGGCTGCGACTTTCTCCAAATCCCTGCACCTTCTGCTAAGACCATTACCTATATCAAAAAATATAGATTACAAGAAAGTCATCAGCCCAGTTTTTACCAGTTAGGAAAAATAATTCATTGCTACAGAATATGTAACTGATATAAAATAGTATCATAAAAAAGTACCATAATAGGTTAAAACCAGACAACTGCTGACAAAGACATTCTGCCAGTTATTTTGTCTCCTCGAGCAGCAGCCAGCCATTTATCCTGGAAGCATCTGAAGGGTGCCGTGCTTCCTGCAGAGCCGTGAGAACACCACCTCGACCGATATAAACGCAGTCACCAAAGACACATTTCCGTTCTGTAGCATCTCCTGAATGCAGGATTAATCTTCCTTTCAGAAGCCGCTCCCAAAGAGGGGATTTCCCGGGGCAGGACCCCTCGCCTGCTTTCCACAGTGTCCTTACCCCTGCTCATCGCACTGTCCTACCCTCTGTCGAGGGATCTCGTGGCCTCCCACCCACCTCCTGCATCGCCAGAGGTGAAGTTCTACGCGCCCCAACAGAAGACAAGCACTTGTAACACCGAACAGAAATCCTGCGGACTATAGGAAAGCCCTGAGAGCTGACGCCAGTACGACAGAAGCTACTGAGTGCATCCACCGAGTCTGACTGCTTCGAGAGTCTTCCCACCGAAACTTCAGCGGTTTCACACTTATTGCAAAATTTTATGAGAGGCAAAAAAAAGAAGCTAAGCCTGGTACTGCATTTAACACACTACAAATCTTGAAGGAAAACCCCACCCAGAGGCAGTGTCCGCTTGTTTCCACGCCAGGGAGCTCCTCCGCAGGACAGGCTCACTCCGTTTCCAAGGTCTCTGGAAATTGTCTTCACAAAACCCGCATGTGGACGCACCGAGCCCCACTCTAAGATAAGCCACTAATAAGCACAATCAACTCCAGCAGCCTGTTAATCTCATTTTAAGGGAAGCCTGGGTAGAGCCAGCCAGAATAAAACTGACCTAAAAAAAGCCACATGAGAACAAGACAAAACAGAGAACAATGGAGCTGTCGAGCAGGATTTCCCATTAAAACTTGTAATGCAAATACAGAGCAGCAATCTTTGCTATTAGCTCCAAAGAAACTTTTATAAACTAAGAGGAGCACACTAATTTAGGATTACAAGGTTTATTGTCCAACCATGAGACTACTGTATGTTTCAGCAATTGTACAGGGATAACATACACTCAAGCAGCGTGTCAACCAAAGAAAATGGTAATTGCGTGAGCTCTTTTTATTAGTTACAAATATCTTCTGCCAGGCAAAAATTGAGCAAAGGTTATTTGGTAACGAAAAACCAAGTTAAATTGAAAGTCCTCAGCCTTGGAAGCAGCGTTATGGCACAGAAATGCTTTACCACCTGCAAAAACCTGACACAGCCTTCACCAATAATCTATTCTATTACAAACCCCTTTAAAAACACTGAAGGTAAAGAGTTTATCATAAACCAACTGTCAAAGTTCTTGGAAAAGCAGAAAAATCGCTACGTATTAGTTGGAGAAACGATCTCTGCCTGTTGGACACCTCTGTGGGCTGCGTTTCATTCTCTTGCTGTTGATATTTGCCTCTTTTGCATCGCAGTTTAGGAAAGGAAAAGACAAGAGGCAGTTGGGATAGCCAGATTCCCCTGTAGGTGTAACCAGCTACTGACAAACATAAAATCAAATGCACAAGTGACCGCACGCAAGAAGCCAACTGGATCAATACCTTTCTCAGCTTGTGAGTGCACGCAAATTAAGGTAGGCTAAAGGAGAACCACAGAGCCTCAAAAAGGTGAGTGAATTCAGTTCTGCTTCCCGGTGTTCAGAATGCAGCTTACAAAACCCCTCAGTCTCATTCGAAGGCTCCTGTGGAGGTAAAATTAGAACCGCAACACCGAACACAGCAGGCAGTGACAGCCTTCAGTCGGTACGGAGCTCAGCTCCACACATCACCAGGGTCCCTGGCAAAGCCAGGTGGGCTGATCTGAAAGCAACCAAAACGAAGTGAAAAAGACATCGTTATTCCTGACTGATGAGCATCCCCAGCACCATTTACATTGGGTTGTGCTTCTGTAACACGTTTGACTCCCTGAGGAGAATGTGCTGTTGGAATCCAGTGCTGCGTTTCCTTTCTCTAATGGTTTGGGTTTGCATCCTGTGCCAAGAGCTAGCACTAGAGACAGCACGAGGACTTCAAACTCCCGCAGATGACCTGTCAGCATCCCAGGAGCCAGGGGCTGTATTTGCTTCCCTTTACTACAGCTGCCGGTACATTCACTGCTCAGGCACGGCGGTAGAGCTCAGGGCAAGCAGCTGTTCTTCCCCTGTACCACCTCATGGCTTATTTTACACTCCTTTCTCTACCCCAGCCTTGCCGAAGAACCCTCAAAGATGTCACATGCAGGAAGAAGCCACCCGGACGCTCTCTCCTTAGCACACGAAGTCAAAGAGTTTTGTGCAGGTAGGCAGAAGAGTGCTGCAGCTCCCTGGTCTACCTGCAGCATGAACCATCCCCGTTAGCCGAAACAAGGCCCATTCCCCACCCCAGACTGAGATAAAAGAAGAAGCCGCATCCCTACAGCCAAGCTGGACTAAGAGATTTAAATTCTTGAAAGGTGTTAAGAGCCCGATGTCCCTTACTAGCAACACCCCACTTCCGACACTGTACACAGGGGTTCCATACCCGCCCTTCTGACCAGAGTCCTTCTCTCTGGGTGGTCTTCCTCCTACCTACATCACTTGCTTAAATTTTCTCGTTTCTCTTAGCCGTCCTTACATCTGCAGATATAAAAATGTAAACCCATTCCTGTCTGAGCGCTGGCTGCTTAGGGAGTACTGAGAAAACCAACCAAACCCCCCAAAATGCCACTGCTTTGTCTTCCACAGAACCACACAGACTTCAGGTGGGTCATCCAGAAAAGCCAGGATCCTCGAAGTCAGTAGCTGTTCTGGAATAACGCATGCATTCAACATACTCATTAAAGCAAGAGAGTACAAACATTATCTTGGCCCAGACAATGTCACAGCTCGGTACCACGTATTTCTTATAATTAAAAAAGGAGAAAGCCTACAATGTTAGTATTTGCTCATGCTTGTATATTCCTCATAGAGAAAGGAAACCTGCTTTGATTGTGCTTACCCATCATAAAAACCAAACAGAGCACAGCAATTAAGGTCACATTTCATTAAAACAAGCAAATCTTTGTTCCATCAAACAATATTGTTTTATGCCATTATCTGGAGCAGCGTACCAGCTGGTACTGAAGTGGAAGGACATTTGCTGTCCGCATGGAGAGCACCGGGGCTGTTCAGACTTTGATCCCAGATTTAAAGAACAGAATTTACTGTCTATTGGCAAGTTTATTTTGTAGCATAATGTTGTAACAGACATATTATAGTCCAATTGCGTGACAAGTGCTTGTGCATTCAATTACCAAAGCTTATAAGCAGGATTATTCTTTAAAGAAGAGTTATTAAAAGACATCATAGAAGCTTTTTTTTTTTTAATGAAAAGGGAAGTTGTATTTCTT